ATATATATGTATATAAATAATTTTTTTTCTGAATTCTAATTTTTAAATTAAATTATAATCAATTATTAGTAATATTCTTTTTAATAATTATTATTAGTTTTAAAAAAGTAATTAAATATAATGAAATCCATTTAATTAGTTTAAAACCTAAGAAAGTTAACACATTGGAACATATGTGAGTAAATACTTTTTAGATGATACCTTTATAAAAGAGATCATGCCCTTGTGCCAAAATTTGTAAAATAGTCCAAACAAGCTCAACAATGACAAAGTTCAGTGTCCTATGGATTATTCTTTTGTTACTGATACTAATATTTTTTAAATTGTTAAAGAATCAAATAAATCTATCATAGAAATGATTACATCTTTAAAAGTAATTAAATTAATTAATTAATTTATTAAATTTAAAAATTATATTAATTCTATTTGTATTTAAGAATTAAAGTTTAATTTACATGAAAATTTAAAATTAATTCAATCTATTAAATAAATACGAAGAAATATAAAATATAAATATAAATTAAATTTAAAAAATATTCTTAGCAAAAAAAAAAAAAAAAAAATAGGGGGCTTGTATATAAATCCCCATTATATCTATTTACAATATGTAAATAGATATAAATTGAGCGGCATGTATATAAATGCCCATTAACTTTACTTTTTCTTCTTTTTATATATACCACCCAAATTTTTTATATCATATAAGAAAATATCATTAATTTTCTTTTAAAAATGAAATATACATATTTATGCATATGTAAGGTGATACGCACACAGGCACACTTTTAAGTTTAGGTGTTAGATATGTAAAACTCATTTTCATGTTTTAGCACTCATGCACTTATAGTATACATTATTATAAGTGCAAAGAGATTCAAGAAAGTTGAATTACAATGTGGTGGGTGTGCTCGAATCTCATCCATCGTCCATATATATGTTTTAGCACTCATGCACTTATAGTATACATTATTATAAGTGCAAAGAGATTCAAGAAAGTTGAATTACAATGTGGTAGGTGTGCTCGAATCTCATCCATCGTCCATATATATGTTGAGGTGAGGTGAGTATTACATACGTACAAAATATGTTCGGACGACAAATGAGATTCCGGCACGCTAATGTATAATTCAACTTCCACGAATCTAATCCACCATCCCCACACATACGTTTTAATGAATCACACTTGTCATACGCTGTCATGTAAATAGGATTTGAAGAATATTGACACATGACCACTAATAATTATGGGGCCTATAGAGAAGAAAATATCACACAATCAAATTTTTCAAAAATGTCAAATGAATTACAAAATTTTGTTAGTTGCGTCAACATTCTAATTGCATCTCACTCCCACACCTGCAGCCACCACACCAGCTTATAATTACAGTAATAAAACTACCATGCACACAATTTTCAGTCATATGGGTGGGCGGAGAAGTAAGCCAGGAGGCCCACGAGTGGGGCGTTTATATACGTAGTGGGCTCCGACTGCTGGAATATGGGCCGAGCATCCTGGAATACATCGCTTATATTGGTCGGCCCGCCCACGACCGCCCCGACGAGTAGATTCGGGTTCGGGTTTGGGCTCAGGTAATAGGGAGTACCTGCCTTGCACCCGATCCGACCCGGATGAGCTGCTACCGAAGGCAGTGAGCTGGCCCGATGGTGTATGTGCTGCGGGTACCTCTTCCCATACCCCACCATGTACGACATTTGCAACGGATTATCTCCCAGAATATAGTCCACCTACACGGTTATATTAACAGGTAGGTTATGGGTATTGGATGAGACTGAATGAAAGGTTTTGTACCTGGCGCTTGGCGGCCAGTCTGAGATCGGCGGGGTAGGCCGAGGATGCGCCACATGGAACGTGGCTATTGGCGTGGCTGAGATAGTTAGAGTAGGCGAGGAGAAGGAAGGAGAGGGAAGTAACATGCTGCATGTTGCTTCCTCCAGTCTTGAACAGCAGACCACCTTCACTTCAATCAAATAAAATTTAATTAATAAATATAATTATAGTGATAATCACTACTAACAAATTAAGCAAAAATAAGAAGAACAAGGATGTAAGATGAAAGATGTAAGAGGAGGAAGATTAGTATGGAATTTTGTAATTGTTAGCGGGAGATTGTGCAAAGAAGATTTACCTGGAGAGTACTGGATCTCCGGGTGAGATGATACGCCGGGGAGAAGGGAGCAGATGAAATCGTCGGCGTTTTCCTTGAATGACCGGAGATAGTCATCCTTCCCCATCAGCACTTCCTGTGCACATGCCACCGCAGAAAAAATATGAATTTGCAAAATCAACCCCCATCATATTTTTGCTCCTTCATTTATATCCCATTAATGTATTAAAATTTGTTCGACTCAAATAAATCAGTAATGCTGCGAGTCTACGAAAATGTAGTAAATTTTTTCAAATTATAACAGATTTAGGATCTGTTAGGGGCAGCTTATTTGGTGTGGAGGTGTTTTGAAAGTACACTTAGTTTGTTTGGATAAACTGAATTTTGACAACTTATGCGTTTTCAAAATGCTGAGCATTTTCACACCACATATGTCTAGATACGGTGACAGATTTCAGAAAGCAATATGATTTTTTCAAAAAAAAAAAAAATTATAATAGTCATCACACCAATCTTATTATTATTAAATAAGCTACAGCTGCGCGATACAAACTCTTAATTTATCTAAGAGACACTAAAATTTAAAACTATATTGAATCAGAATTTAAAAAGTTTTCAAACAAAAATATTATTTAATCCAAAAATCCCGAAACTCTGTCAAAAAGTAAGAACCATTTACTTTATACAAGAAAATCCGACACGATTAAGTACAGTTGCTCAGCGGCGGGGCTAAATTTTCTGACATAAAAGCAGTAAAAATCGCCAAAAAAGCAAAAACAAACGGCGTTAAAAAAGCAGAACGATACACTAAACGCACCTTAGATATAAGCACGTTAACTCCAGCGTGTTTGTTATCCCATCCAAATTCGTGTTTCGTGTCGCTGGCCCCGAGCACATCCTCGTTGCTCTTGATATACTCCCTGTACTCCCTCTTCCTCGTCGCCTTATGCAGCCAGGCCGCTCCCCAAAGCAGTTCATCCTTATAACCCGAAAAGTCGCAGTAACACGGACACACGACATCGTGTAAACTCGAACTGTATGCACCGCGATGCCGATCCGCAAAATCAAACACGCGGACAGCTCGTCGTAAAAGCCGGTTCGAATAATCGGGATCGCGGATACGGAAAACAATGGCGGCGGCCGCTAGTGCGGCGCGGCGGTCTCGCCGGCGACGTCGGAACCGGGATGGGAAGCGTTGACTTTGTAGACGGTGCGGGGGGTGTCCATATCCTCGGGGCGTTCCCAACAAGAATGGTCGCGGAAAGCGTTGCCGACTTGAACGTAGAGGGTGTTGGGAAGGGAGGTGGCTTTGAGGAGGTAATCGGTGCCCCAACGGACGGCGGAGATGGCGTCCGAGAGATGGGTGGGGGACATGGTGTGGTTGAAGTCGATGATGCTCCAGGAGAGGAGGGTGGTGGTGAAGGCCATGGGGAAGCCGAATTTTATGTTGTCTCCGGCGTCGTAGTAGCCGCCGGTGAGGTCCACCTGAGAGATTTTTTTTGGCATTGATTTGTCAGCTATCGTGACTGAGGGTTTTTTTAAAAAATTGTGCTAATGCTACTTTGACCGAAAAGTTTGATTAAATTACTGCTGTGTCCCTGCTTCGTCAATACTCGTGCCAGTCAAATATTTACTGAATCTAGTAAAGTTATGCTTTTTGCTCCACATGGCTGAGGAATGAATTCCAACCATCGTGCAACAAAATGAAGAAACTCAAGTTCATTAACATGCTTTAAACATATTCTTACTCAGTTTATATCATAAGCAACATGATGAACTTTTTCCCCCGAAAAAATCAAGTTTTAATTTTTATTCAAATAAACATCATTGGTGACGTGGAAAAATTAAAGGAGGAATGAAGAAAATATTTCTTTATGTGTTATTCATATGTAATATTTTTCCAGAAGAAAGGGTAAAGAAAGAGCTTACACCGATAGAGGCTCCATCATGTAGCGCAGAGTCGCGGCGCCATGAGATGCGCTGAGAAGGCGGGAGGCGGCCGGAACGCTGCCCCTCGAAGAAGAGTATGCTTTTGTGAAGGGCGTCCGCGTAGTCATGCAGGGCGGCGGTGGAAGCGGTGACAATGGTGAAGAGGAGGAGGAGGAGAACGCTGGCCGGCGGCGAGTGGTTTGCCATTAGAGCGAGCTGTGCAGTGCGATTAACTTCTAAACGGAAAGTACTGAGTAGGATAAATAGGAAATGGAAGGCACGTGAAGGAAGAGAGCAAGCGAATGGGAGGAAGACACGTGGATGGAGACAAGAAGGAAAAGCCGTTGCGGCGCCGGTCACGAGTGTAACGGGTCGAAGTAAGAGTGAAAGATCACGTGACAATGATGGGGGGGAGAGAGGACCGTTTGCCATTTTCGTTAGAGAGCATTTATTTGACCGTTGGACATTATGGCGGGTTTCGAGTTAGCCGTTACAATGGGGCTGTTAAGGCATGCCGGATAGATATTGTATGGGAATTAAATGAGAGCTTGCATTGCCGATGATCTGAATGAAGCTTAACTGGGTGAGCAAAAGCGAAAGAAATCAAAGAAATATTAACGAGTATTCCATTCAGGTACGTATGGAAAATGAAGAATTATTATATATATAATATTTTAATTGACAAATGTCTAATTTGCTTATGTTTAAGTCGTTTGAAAGTTGATCGAATTGTTTGTAGTTTGATTTGAGCCATGATTTTGGTGTAAGATTGATGCGCCATCAATAAAATTTCATCATCCGACATGAATTTGGAGTCATGACATGAATCTTGATGTGACTTTTTGAGCAAAAATTATTCAACCTTTGATAAAAAGTAATTCAGAAATCTGATTTCAATAAATTTATAGTCAAACTGACCGGCTCGACAAGATGGACCCAATGTTGCCAAAATTGATTTAAATTGAACAAAATCAAGCCAATATCAAGCCATTAAACCACTTTTGAAAGTTTTTTTGACACATTTAGAAGGTCAAACAAATGTTGATTCTGTTGAGTCTATAATCAAATTGAGCGTCTTGACAAAACAAATTCAATGAGCCTAAGATCACTCAATTTTGACATCATTAAAATACTTAAATATTCATCAAATGTCCTCTGATCGAGAGAAGAAACTGAAGTTCAACATCACTCCTGCAGTCGTTCACAACCACGAACCACCCTCAACAACCACAGATCAACGTCAAGTACTCCCTCCAACCCTCGCCGACCGTCGTCGATTGCCTCCAAACACCGTCGACCACAATCAATATTGTAACTTGAAAATCCAAGTAACACTTTTTTGCCTGTGGGATGAGTGGTTGCAACTGTAATCATCTGTTTATAGTAAAATTTTTCAGTTGGGTCTGCCCCAATGATTTTTCTATTTCTGGGTTTTCACTTAAGAACTTCTAGTGTCATTATTAGTTGCTTTTTCTTTTCTGAGTGTGTGTTGAATCTTCGTACCACTCTAAGACGATAATCTGCTACTCTACTGCTACAAATTTTCTAGCATGCATCAAATATATTGGGTCACCAGTTAATGTTCCACATGATTCTGCAAATAATGAACTACGTTGCTAAGTTTATGACATACTTTTGGAGATTTGAGGGCTATCTAAAATTTTTATTGTCGCATTCGCATAGCATTGTCATTTTATGATATGAATCGACATTGTAAGTGGATATATTTAGTCATTGAAATCACTAAGAATGTTCTCCAATTTCATAGATACTTTGATAGTATTGATGAATGTGGATTCTAGTCATTAAATACTAGTTATTGTTTACATTAGATGTAATAAATATGAGTACTTGGCCAATAAAACTAAATGTTGGTGGGTAAGTCTTTTGGACACTATTTATTTGGCTCCTTTCTGAAGTCTTTTCATCCAGGATGCTTTTAACCTTTTAGATTTATATTTGTTTAATTCTATTTTCATATTTAATTAAAAAAAAGGGTTTTGTATTTCATAAATCAACTACAAAAGTAGGGCTTTGATAATGTTTTGGAGGGATTTAACGACAGTTTTAACTGTTAAAAGTTGGCAATAGTTCTAAAATTGCTACTAAATTGTTATAATTGCAAGACTTTGAAAATGCTCTTGGAAAAATCGCTGCTATAGAATAACAAGATTTTAACCACTATAACTCAACATGCAATGAGTTATAATTTTAAGGGTGATTTTCCACCTTATTTTCTTCAAATTTATAAAGAAATAGTTCAAAGCACAATAGGCTAAACAAAATAGCAAAATATCCAGACAATGACTGATTGTACGCAACTTTTATATTACATATAAATTTACATTATAATATAAATAATCTAGCACTTTGGAGGCCGTTCATTCAATCAAAAGCACAAAAAACAAAATTATTTTAACAAACATATTTTATGTTGACATTAAATATGTATGACAATCATTCAATCGAATTAAGCCTTAATAAATAAATAAATAAATAAAAAACATTGTTATTTTGCATCAATTTTAAAGCTCATTCAATTGAAGTAGCAATTAATCATATGATATGATCAATTTTAATAGTGAAACTATTTTCCATCATATAGAGTACTATTAAGGTTTCCACGTATTGATTACTATGATAAATACCAAGCGATGATACGAGTTTAAGCTTATTTTGAGAGAAGAGAGTTGAATCCTAAATTGAAATACTTAAAAAAATACTAAATTGAAGTACTTAAGAAACTTGCGTCTAACCCACGTTGGTGCGTGCATGGTGAAGAAATAACTTTTTTTTTTCTTTTTGCAAGCCATGTCACTAAAACTAGTCGAGCAAAGCAATATGAGGAATATGCTTGAGACTAACAAATTTTATGAGATTAAATAAGTGATTTGAATAAGGCATTGGAATGCTAAGGATCCTTATCACATGCATGCTATAATTATGGTAAAATCATACCACAAAAGTTTCAAGTTTTTTTTTTTTTTAATTAATAAATTGAGGCTATTGAAATTATTGAAATCCATGATCATAATTTTGAGATTAGTAAAAGTGACGATGAATACTGAAAAAAATGTGCACCTAAAATTTTCTTAACCGGACAATTTGAGAAGGAACAAAGACAATTTCTTAGAAGGCTTCTCTAACTTACTATAAGAGACTCTTGAAAAGCCACAAGTAAAAGAAGTTCTTGGGAGTGGAGATAGCAATGTAATGATATTAATTAATTTCTAACTTAATTATGCTATCTATATTGTAGATGTGACTTTGGTTGAAAATATAAATTTGAGGAATTACACCACTCACCATATACAACAAAACAAAGTAAAAGTCATACCTACGATCTCATAGAAATAAATAATGAAAAAAAAAACATATGTGAATATAGTAGTTATAGACATACACAAGAAAATGAGGACTATAACTATGATAGGTATCATGAAAATATTGATAAAAAGATCGAGGAGTAGACATGAATAGCTTGTAGGTGACTAATAGAAGTTGTTAATCGGCATGTGAGATCACATGCTTTCATAAGGGAATGTTATCTTACTAATAAAACAAATGATTCAAGATATGTGTGAGTTCATAGCTCTTGTTGATTGGGCGAGTGGTCTTCAAAACTAAAGATATTGGTTTTTTAGGTAGGACGAGTGACCCCTTGAGTTGGAGAAGTGGCCCAAGTAAGTCGACTTTTGATTGTTTATAAGAAATCAATAAATTTCTCGTCTAGTTTAGCCAAATAGATAATTTATTTATCGACAACAAATACATTATTATTAGGGAGTGAATTTTGCCAAAAATGAAGCTTAGTACTCATAAAAATATTTAACTTTTTTTTTTGTACGACAAGAGGGATTGTGTTGACCAGATTCTCACTTGAATAAAGATAAAAGACAAGCTAAGGTTTAATTATGTTTGAAGATATGATAAAATAATTTGTATGAGTAGTTAATGACTCTTACGCAATGTAATATGCATGCCACTAATTGAATGTATTGAGGATTTGGTAGCCATGAATAGTACTTGTAATCCAATTTTCAATCTATCCTAAGGTCTATTATTATTCCTAACTCTTCCCCAACTAGTTTTTCAAAAACTAAAACCGTCATAGAGTCCACACATATGAATAATAAGGTTGTAATGTAGAAGAAATCATTGATAATACATCATATTCTTATAGTGACTTGGGATATATAAGGGAGCACAATATGTAGTTACTAAAGATTGGACTTCCTTTTACTAAGGACTCCCCACATGATATTGACGGCTTGGTCACTATAATCATCTTAGAGCAAATTATATTCTTGAGAATATTGAATTTAAGAATTTTTAAAAAATGAATAATGAATCATTTCTTATCTTAAAATAACATGATGCTTCCAACATTGCAAGCATAATTTCATGGAGATATTGAGATTGTATGAGTTACAAGAAAATTATGGTACTTGTTAGAATTGCTTGGTTTCTATCATATTTTTTGTGTAGTTTAGAGCATTCATCTTAAAACAACTTTTAGTATAGGTGATGTCCATGAATCAAGACATGGAACGAATCTCGATGTGACTTTTTGAGTAAAAATATTTAAATATCGATAAAAAAAATCATCCAAAATTCCGATTTCACTAAACTTACGGTCAAACTGATCGGCCCGATAAGAAAAACCCATTGTAACCAAAACTGGTCCAATAAATTGCTTCTTAAGAGTTTTATGAGATCCAATAGTATGTCAAGCAAAACAATATATATACCCTATGAAGTAAAAAATTTATATATAATATATTTTTTCTAATTAATTTTAAAGAGTCAATTTCGAGCAGAACACAACCCGAACATGAACAAGAACATTTAAATCGATCCAAACAAGAACAGACTATCATGAGCCAATTTCAAATTCGAGTAATTCCAAACGACGAGCCAAACCAGACTCTGCCCCGACCCCCTCCCAAGCGGCTCGCTAGTATAGTCTTTTTCACGTCAATCTCACAAATATTCCCTGCGAAATTGGCTTTGCACTCCTAGAGCCACGAAAAATTATTCCATACGGATCGGGCACCGCACGCAGCTTGCGTGCGGTGTCCGATCCGGACCGTAAATCACCTGATCAACGGTCCCGATGTATTTCGGTGGGCCCCACCAAATTTTTTTAAAAAAATAGAAATAATCCTGACCGTAGATCACGTGATCTACGATCAGGATCGGACACCTCATGCACAG